AGGGCCTGCGAGCCGCCCTGGGGCCCTCGGGCGAGGCCGAGCACGCGGTGGCCGCGGCGAAGCACGCCAGGTCTGTGTGGCTGTGCATCTCGGAGGGCGTGCCGCCTGAGCTGCTTCAGGGGGTGGACGCGGACAGCAGGGGCAACGTAAGAGTGGGAATCGGCTCAGAGGGGGGGCGACGTCGGATGTTTGGGCTCTTCGATCGGGACACCAGTTCAGGGTTTTCGGACGTTTTCGAAGGTTCCCGTCGGCTTTCCCATCTCGGGGTGCTCTTCACCAGCTGAGTCTCGCCGAGGGCGTTCCAGGGGTGCACGGATCGTCCCGAACGACTGCAGGAATCCCGACTTATGAGCCGAAAGTCAGACGATCCCTCAGGACACCTTCTTGCAAGCGTGGCTGTGCTTGCTGACCCGGGAGTTCATTGGCGACAAATGTATCCGTACCCGCGGCCTCGTGGGCCGGGCCCCTGGGCCGCGACCCCGCGGATACGGGGCCCGTTTTCGTGGACGCCCCGCGCGGAATGTGTCAGTGCGACCGCATACCCGCGGGATCGCGCACCGGAGCCCAGATCGCGACGGCGCGGATACGGATGTGTTCGCTGCTCGTGAGGAGTGCTGCACCCCGCACGGGTCGGCGATCGCGCCGCTTGTCGACCATTTCAACCACTCCCCGAGGCCGTGTGCCGTGCAGGACTGGGACGAGCAGGCCTGCGGCGGCCAGGGCGCCCTCGTGGTTAGGGCAAGCCGTGACATCGAGGCTGGGCAGGAGGTCTCGAGGTTTACAAAACGGCAAAGAACGGCACACAGCAGAAAGGCTACCCTCTCCTCGACTGCGCCTTTTTGGGCCTCCTGGGAGGCCTTCGTCGCCACGTCTGGATTCGCTTCGAAATGTTGGTCAGAACGCACTCCAGGAGAGGTCCGCGGAGTACCCGTATCAGTGCTCCTTGTCCCCCCCATGAACGTACACGGATGTCTAGGATCGGCGCTGGTCCCCCCTCTCGACGCGGAGCAGGCCAGGGGCGGCGCCGCCAGATGGGGCCCAGTGCAGGTCCCAGATCTCCGCGCGGAGCTCCGAACGTTTGTCTTTCTGTTTTTTTTTGTTAGTTTTTCCTTCGGAGGTCTGCTTCGAGTACGGGGAGCTGTCCAACCAGACCCCCGACGTCAGGATTTTTTCACGACGTCGACCCCCAGAGGTCTCGACCCATCTTCCGCGACTGACTTCTCATCCTAAATTGTTTTCTTATGGTCCCAGGGCCCAGCGAGGCCGAAAATATGCAAAAGCCTTCCGTTGTGTTTTTCCACGACCCGAGGGGGTCTGTCCAACCCGCTGCTCCTGCGCACCTACGGCTTCACGCTGCCGCCAGCGGACGAGCCATGTTGGACGTGCACGCTGTTGGAGGGCGAGCTTCTGTCGCTCTGCGGCCCCTCCGTTCCGCCGTCCATTTGGGCCAGACGAAGGGGGAAGCTTAGGACACAGACGTACTCGGGCCTCGGGGGCCCCGGGGCCGTCAGGCAACGACCCGCGGGATGGAATACCGGCCCCGGGTAAAGGGCCCAGGGCCCTGGGGGTTCACGTCATGAAGAGACGGCGACGCCGAGGGCCTGGGACTGGGAAGGGGGGGGGGTACGAAGTCTACCGCACGCAGCTGGCTTCGGCCCCGTCGCCAGGCCATTCCCTCGATGCACGGGACACCTCCGGCGCCCGGAAGGCCACCTGCGTGAGAGCCGATTCGCTGAGCTCCCAGCCTTCAGGGCAGTGGGGATCTGCACATATCCACCGTCCCAGGCCAGGTCCAACCTGGGCCCAGGAGCGGTGTACATGCGGGGTACGTGCCCCCTGGACCAGCCAAGAGGGCGTATGCACCGCTCTCAGGCCCAGGATGGGCCTGGACAGGGGCAGTGGATACGTATAGATCTTGTCGCCCTGTGCCTCTAGCGCTTCTCCACCACCCCCGACGTCGTGATGTCATAATTTCGTAAACCCCCAGAGGCCTCGCCCCTCTTAGGGGACTGGCTTTTCATCCTGAGTCGCTTTTTGACAGCCCCGGGGACGAGGCCCGGTGAGTGCCCCCGTACGCTAAACATTGAGAGATACCCCCCGTTGTGTTTTTACCACGACGCGAGGGGGTCTGGGCCCTTGTCTTAAGTCGGGCACGCTCTTCTACAGGAGGGATCTTCAAAAAGCGTCACAACATAGTACGGGGACGTTTTGTTGTTGTTGTTGTTGTTGTTGTTGTTGTTGTTGTTGTTGTTGCATTTGCTGTTTGACTTTTTTACCTAACAGCGAAGACTGATAGGTTTCTAGTAGGGTCAAAAGAGAGCATCATGACGCCCCAGGGGGGTCTGGGCGCGATCCGGGGGAGGATGCTGGGGACTCTCTTGTTAGCCAACAGTAACGCACTTCGTGGTCTTCGAGTTCCCAGAACTCCATTCCTGGGCATGATTTTGAATGCCCCGAGCCAACTGTAGGCCACTTCGTGTTCTTCTAGTTCCCAGAACTCCACTCCTGGGCATGATTTTGAATGCCCGGAGCCAACAGTAGGCCACTTCGTGGTCTTCGAAATCCCAGAATTCCATTCCTGGGCATGATTTTGAATGCGCGGAGACAACTGTAGGCCACTTCGTGTTCTTCGAGTTCCCAGAACTCCATTCCCGGGCCACATTTTGAATGCTGAGGCAGGCTGATGCTGAGGCTGAGGCAGGCTGAGGCAGGCTGAGGCTGAGGCCGAGGCTGAAGGCAGACTGAGGCTGAGGCTGAAGCAGGCTGAGGCTGAGGCTGAGGCAGGCTGAGGCTGAGGCTGAGGCAGGCTGATGCTGAGGCAGGCTGAGGCTGAGGCTGAGGCTGATGCAGGCTGAGGCTGAGGCAGGCTGAGGCTGAGGCCGAGGCTGAAGGCAGACAGGCTGATGCTGAGGCTGAGGCAGGCTGAGGCTGAGGCTGAGGCAGGCTGATGCTGAGGCAGGCTGAGGCTGAGGCTGAGGCTGATGCAGGCTGAGGCTGAGGCAGGCTGAGGCTGAGGCCGAGGCTGAAGGCAGACTGAGCTGAGGCTGAAGCAGGCTGAGGCTGAGGCAGGCTGAGGCTGAGGCAGGCTGAGGCTGAGGCTGAGGCTGAGGCTGAGGCTGAGGCAGGCTGAGGCTGAGGCCGAGGCTGAAGGCAGACTGAGGCTGAGGCTGAAGCAGGCTGAGGCTGAGGCTGAGGCAGGCTGAGGCTGAGGCTGAGGCAGGCTGATGCTGAGGCAGGCTGAGGCTGAGGCTGAGGCTGATGCAGGCTGAGGCTGAGGCAGGCTGAGGCTGAGGCTTGGCAGACTGAGGCTGAGGCTGAAGGCAGGCTGAGGCTGAGGCTGAGGCTGAGGCAGGCTGAGGCTGAGGCTGAGGCAGGCTGAGGCTGAGGCAGGCTGAGGCTGAGGCTGAGGCTGATGCAGGCTGAGGCTGAGGCAGGCTGAGGCTGAGGCCGAGGCTGAAGGCAGACTGAGGCTGAGGCTGAAGCAGGCTGAGGCTGAGGCTGAGGCAGGCTGAGGCTGAGGCTGAGGCAGGCTGATGCTGAGGCAGGCTGAGGCTGAGGCTGATGCAGGCTGAGGCTGAGGCTGAGGCTGAGGCTGAGGCAGGCTGAGGCTGAGGCGAGGCTGAGGCAGACTGAGGCTGAGGCTGAAGGCTGAGGCTGAGGCTGAGGCAGGCTGAGGCTGAGGCTGAGGCTGAGGCTGAGGCTGAGGCTGAGGCTGAGGCTGAGGCTGAGGCTGAGGCTGAGGCTGAGGCTGAGGCTGATGCTGAGGCTGAGGCTGAGGCTGAGGCTGAGGGCTGAGGCTGAGGCAGGCTGAGGCTGAGGCTGAAGGCAGACTGAGGCTGAGGCTGAAGCAGGCTGAGGCTGAGGCTGAGGCAGGCTGAGGCTGAGGCTGAGGCAGGCTGATGCTGAGGCAGGCTGAGGCTGAGGCTGAGGCTGATGCAGGCTGAGGCTGAGGCAGGCTGAGGCTGAGGCCGAGGCTGAAGGCAGACTGAGGCTGAGGCTGAAGCAGGCTGAGGCTGAGGCAGGCTGAGGCTGAGGCTGAAGGCTGAGGCTGAGGCAGGCTGAGGCTGAGGCTGAGGCTGAGGCTGATGAGGCTGAGGCTGAGGCAGGCTGAGGCTGAGGCTGAGGCTGAGGAGGCAGGCTGAGGCTGAGGCTGAGGCTGAGGCCGAGGCTGAAGGCAGACTGAGGCTGAGGCTGAAGCAGCTGAGGCTGAGGCTGAGGCAGGCTGAGGCTGAGGCTGAGGCAGGCTGAGGCTGAGGCTGAGGCTGAGGCTGAGGCTGAGGCAGGCTGAGGCTGAGGCCGAGGCTGAAGGCAGACTGAGGCTGAGGCTGAAGCAGGCTGAGGCTGAGGCTGAGGCAGGCTGAGGCTGAGGCAGGCTGAGGCTGAGGCTGAGGCAGGCTGAGGCTGAGGCTGTGACTGCGACTGCCGTTACCACTGCGACTGTCATCGCGAATGCGACTACGACTGCGAGAACAGCAGAATTCTACAACTGGATTCTCATCTGAATCTTAAGGGGAATGCTTCCAGATATGCTCCTACACATCGCTGTTAGGTTGCTTTGTCGGGATAATTTTATTTTTTCGTCCAAAATCCGTCTGTAGGGGGACATGCCCGACCTAACCCTTGTCGTCGGGCCCGACCCATGCGGGAGCAGCTGGCCGAGCTGCCGAATATCCACCTGGACGCCTCGCGGTGCTCGAGTCCGAGGAACAAAAAACGGCACAGGCATAGACTTTCGGAGCTCTGCGCGGATGTCTCGGATCGGCGCTGGCGCCCCCAGAGGGTCCCCGGCGCCGATCCAAGAAATCCGCGTCCCAGACCTCTCCCTGGGTGTGTCCTGCCCAGGCTTTCGAGGCGAATCCAGACGTGGCGGCGAGGGCCTCCCAGGAGGCCCAAACGAGCAAATACGAGGACAGGGTCGCGGTATCGGTACCTGGTCCCTTCCTGATATGTGCCGCTTTTTGCTGCTTGTTTGTTCCTCGACCAGCACGGTGGCCCTGGCCATGCAGGCGCTGGCCCGGGGCTGCGGGCGCGCCGGCGGCCCGTTGCGCGAGCTGTGCGCGGCCCGGGTGGGGCTGCTGGAGCGGGACGCCTCCCTGCGCGGTGCGCTGGCGGCGCTGCGGCGCGCCCGCGGCGGCGGCAGCGCAGCGTGGTGGGAGCACGTTGGCGCAGACGGGGAGGCAGTTGTAGGCGAGGCGGGGCACGCCCTCAGGGTGAAGATGAGCGAGTACCTCTGCCTCGTGGCGCACGTGGAGGCGCTGAGCGCGGCCGCGCCGGGCGCCGCGGCGGAGCCTAGGGCGCGCGCGGAGCCGCTGCGGGAGGCGGCCGGGCTGCGCGAGGACCTGCGCGTCGTGCTGGCAGCACTGGAGGGCCACGGCGCCGTGGCGGCGCTCACGGGGGCGGGCGGCTCCGCGGGCGCCACGGGCGCCGGCCCTCCCGAGGAGGTGCCCGTGGCGCCAGGCGGCAGCGCCGAAGATTAAAAAAAGGTGGCGGCAGGCGCGTGCGGCGCCGCGCGCCGTGGCGTGCGATGCGTGCCGTGCGCGCCGCGCCTGCGGGCCGTGCCGTGCCGTGCGCGCTGTGCCCTGCGTGCTGCTCATCAGAGGAGGAAACGGTACTCGGAGTTTCTTAATCAGCGTCGGGGGGGCGTCACCCCCGCCGACAGCCCCACATCGACCCACGTCGCGGCCAGCCACCACGCGCCAAAGGCGTTCCGACCCCCGTCGCGGCGCGACGACGAGGCGAGGTTGACCCCCGTCGGGGAGTACCCCCCCACGCTTGTTAAGAAGCCCAGAGTACCCATACCGCCTGGGCCTCCTGGGAGGTCCTCGTCGCCGCCGCTGGATTCGCTTCGAGATCCTGGTCAGAGCGCGCCCCGGGAGAGGTCCGGGGAGCAGCAGTATCGGCGCCGGTCGGTGTCCCCGGCTCAGTGCTGGGCGTGCCGCGCGCCAGGTGTGGCGTGCTGCGCTGCGTGGTGCCGTGCGTGTCCTGCCACGCGGCGCCGTGGGTCCCCCTAGATTTAAGTTGGGCCTGTCCCTCTACAGGAGGAAAATTCAAGAATAGTAAATAATAGTCTGGGGGCGATTTTTGTTACTGTTTTAATGTTGGAGTATTTTTTGTCAATCTTTTCTTTTTCGTCCAAAATCCGCCTGTAGGGGGACATGCCCGACCTGACCCCAGGTTTACGGTCTGTCTTGAAGTCCCGAAGTCCTGGAGTTCTGAGGTGCAGTTCCGATCGAGGACGGCTGCTTCTGGCTGTGATATGGATCGGCGCGCAGCGCTGGGGATGCTTTTGCTGTGAGCGCGGCTCGAACAACTGGCGTAGCTCTAAGGCCAAGGGCCCTGTTTGAGAGATAGCGGTTGCGGGCAGAGCGGACATGAGAGAGCGGAAGCGAGGCAGAAGAGGGCGAGTCTTCTGGAATCACACTCCTCCTGCACGGTGCTCAAGCGGCGCTGGGCGGGCGCACGAGGCGCTACAGAGCAGCCGGGCTTATAAGCCTGGCGCTATCTTCATTAAGCGGAGTGCCAGGCGTGCTGCAGAAGGCGAGCGCTCGACACGGCTTGCATTGCAGGCAGTCCTTGGGGCACTTAAGCGGATGCGCTACACGCGACCTGCAGGATATTCTCAGCTCTCAGCGCCGCCGGCGCTAGAATCAAAACCAGGCAAGGCTAGCAATAGCAGGAGTTCGATCGCGAAGCGACATAACCCAAACAAACTATCTTATCGAGATAAGATCTGAATGCGTGTGAACGTCATCACATCATTGAAACACAACTTGTGCACACTGAACGAAGCTTCTCTAAATGCGGATTCACGTGTAAATCTTTAGCCAGGTGTGAAAACTGAGCAGCAATGCGGACTTACGTGTAAATTTTTGGCTGGGTGTGACAACTGAGCAGCAATGCGGACTTACGTAAGCGGGGTCGCAAGAGGCTACCGTCTAGCAACAGCAGCATAATTTTAGCTGGTTCGACCGGCCAACCTCCCGTCCGGACGCCGAGCGGGATTCATTTATCCTTTGTGGGCTTCGTCGGTTTGTCCATCAGGTCAGGTCCGCGCCAGTAGTCTCTGCCGGTGAGCCTCCTCCAATGGCCCATGAGATCATTCATCACGCGTTCGGGGAAGTTCGTGAAATCGGAATTGTTGCTCCTGTAGAACCGGAGAAGCCATGACGAGTGCTTCTTGCAGGTCTTGCAGGTAATGTAGACGCTCTGCGGGTTATGTCCGATTCTGAAATCATGGCGGGGGACGGCGGTCACATAGTTGAGCATTTCGTTCGACGATACCGTCGTTGAGGAACCGTTCCACGAAACCACACTCGCAGATACTGAACTCGATGAACTCGATACGGTGACTATGCTTGGTGAGGTAGGGGCTGAACCCGAACTCTGAGATTTCGCTCACCTCGATCGTGCTGATGTTGCGGTAGGTGGTGCGCTGGCATGCGGTGGTTCTGGCGGCAGCAGTGGTGGCGGTGGTGCTGATATCGGCGGCTGCGATGGGTGGTGTCCGAAAGAGACGCCTGAAGCCGATGCTGCTGAACTCGATGCCTGCGCACTGCTGTGTCCATCCGAGGGGTAACTACATCGTGATGTCGCCGTCGTGGTCACGATCCTCGGGGATGGTAGCTGGAATGTTACGGCGCCGGCCAATCATGCGGCCGTCCCAGCCGGGATGCTCGCCCATTGCCTTCGCCTCGGCGACGTGCTCTTCGGTAGCGATCATGTTGTTTTGCCTCATGATCGTCTAGAGCGTCATGAAGATGCCGAAACCGATAGTCATGCCGAGGACCAGCGTGAACGTCAGCAGGCAGATGCAGAAGCTGTAGTCCTGCACCGTCGGCGTAGGCGTAGGCTGTCCCTTGACCTTGCCGAGGCAGGTAAACAAGACTGAGGCGAGCATGGCGGCATGCGGCTGCCGGGTCCCGTAGCTGTGCTTGCGGGCCCCGACGAAGGCCAGCAGGGCGCCGGCTTCCATCGCCTTGGTCAAGGCGTCCGCGACCATGGCCCAGGTCGGGATCCAGCTGAGCTTGAGTGCGCTGTTGGGGTGCGCGCCCTCCTTGATCATGGAGGCGACGATGCGGAATCGCTTGTCGGTAGACTTGGCCCACCTCAGAAGCGATGTGCGTCACGAGACCCTTGCTGTCGCTGTAGATCTCCCCAGGGCGCTTGTCGGCGAGGACGTCGATCGGCTTGAGCGCCGTCTTGGGTTGTAGGCCTCGGTCAGCAGCTGGCGGAACCAGATGTTGGTTTCCGATCCCTCGAGGGTCGCGTAGCCCTCGGCAGGGAGGGTCGACTTCACCGACCTCTTGACCGTGCCCGAGTGCCAGGCCACGGGTAGGCAAAGGTCGTTGCGGCCGCCGACGACATCGCGCGGGCGGTGAGTGAGCCTCATCACCATGCCCCGCTGGCTCTTGACCTCGTCCACGTTGGCGAACGCAGCGTCGCTGAAGCACGCGGTGGTGGCCTTTATCAGATTGACGAGCCCGCGCTTCAGCGCGATCGCGAAGTTCGCTGTCGAGTGCACGTAGGCGACGGTCTTGTTCAGGGTCTTCGCGTCGGCCACGGTGGCGACGTTGGTGCGGCGGGCTGCAAAGCTCACCGGGCTGGCGATGTCCACCCGGGTCTGGACTGCTAGCCATAGCAGCTGCCCGAGCGTGTGGCGGTAGCTCGTCACCTCGGTGGCGGTAAGCCGATCCTCGGCACTGCGGCCTTTCGGGGCCTTCAGGTCGATGTAGTCCACCTGCGAGGCGGCGGTGGCCTGGGTCACCCGAAACTCGTGGTCAAGCTTTGTGATTGTACGTCCACAGTACTTGATGACCCCGTCGACCTGACCCCATCTGCCCGAGACCGGGCCAGCAGCGCTCTCGAGAGGGACTGGTTGAACCTTAGCTGCTGCGTGGAGATCTGCGCGGCCTTCATGATGGCGATCCTCTCTGAGAACGGCTTGTCGGACACGATGCGCTCGTGCGTGGAAAGCCTGCCCGCGTTTTCCAGCAAGCAGTAGGGGAGCCGAAGGCCTCGCCCGAGCACCCGCTGCGACGGCGAGTAGCCCGTGGAGTTGGTTTGGCTGTTCATGGCCCAGCGCACGGAGGCTATCAGCCACTGAGCCTTGTGGGCGATCTCGGGCTGGTCGAACCTGATGCTGAACTGGTCGATCAGCCTCCTCGCGTGCACCTTCCACGTGCCTCCACGTCGCTCCACGGTAGCATTCTGCTGCGGCGTAGCCGCAGAGGTGGTCATCAGGCGGCGCGCCATGTCCTCCAGCTCCTTGGAGAACTCTCGCTCGAACTCGCCGCCCCCATGAAATATGGCGCGTTGAGGCGCGCCGAAAGGCGTGATCTAAATCTGCAGCAGTCGAGCGAATGCAGCTGGTGGGTGCCTTGATGCACCCGTGCCGCACATCGTAAAAACGGAGGCCAGGTCGACCAGGTTCAGGTAGATCAGCTGGTTGCCCGCGTAGTCGGCCAGGGAAAGGAGGTCCACTCCGGTGGAGTCGTTGAAATCCCTGTCCAGTCTGATCCTGCCCGGCAGGTGTGGTAGTGGCCGTTGATGTGCTGCGCGGACCTCGCAGTAGAGGTTGAGAGCCATCTCTATGGATCTCTGCGATCCGCCTGTCACGCGGGTAGCTCGGGCAAGCGAGTCGTTGGGCGGGTGCCCCGTGTTCAAGTGGAGCTGCATCGCGGCGGACCTGAGCGTCCGGTTGTCCGCGGCCGTGAGCACTGGTTCCTGTGCGGCTGCGGCGGCCGGAACCGTCCTCCTGCTCGCCCTTCGTGCTGTAGGGTGTGCTTCGCGAAGGGGTCGGCGGTTTGGTCGCTGCAGTTGTCCGGCCAACGCCTTCGCGATCATGTGCGTGTAGTTCTCGCTGTTCTTCGCGATCTTTCCGCGAGCCTCGGCGTGGGGGTGCGACCCGTCGCAGAACTTCCTGAGCGAGTCGTTGAACCCGTAGTGGTCGGTGACGATCCTCAACGGCTTCTTGATGTGGACGCCCTTCTTCGAATGGGGGTCGAACGCGCGGCCGTCGAAGTCTATGACTCGCGGGGGCTGCTCTTTCTGCTGCTTGGCGGTCGATTTCTTGTTGGGGTTCCATCCGTCGCAGTGCCTTGGCCACTCGAACGCGAGCTGGGCGCCGAACTCCGTGTGCAGCCGGGACATGGACTGAAGGAACAGTCCGATCATGAGCTTGGACTTGGCCCGATCCTTGTAGAGCTGCGGGATCTTACTCGGGTCGATCTTCACGACAAGTCGCTGTAGTGATGTCCGCGGCTGGCAAGAAAATGCAGCGTGAACTCGCGCACTCTTGCCGCTGGCAAGGTTGGACCTGATCCTGCCCTCCAGCTTGTTGACCACGAACCGTTCGGGGGAATGTGGAGTCGCTGTGGGTTCCAGACGAGTTTTTACGATCTTTCGCGTTGCTCCTCATCATTACCCTTACCATTACCATTGCAATTTC